ATATATTAGGGTTTAGGGTTTATAATAAATGATGATTGTTATTTTAAATAATTTATTAAAGAAATAATTTTTTTACTCAAAGAGCTATATAGATTTTTTTTTGCTTTAATTAATTTTTTTTTATTTTTAATTCCAACAAGCCAATTTCGAGTTGACATGAGCCAAACACGAATAAAAAATATAAATCGAGCCGAACTCAAACAGGTTGTTCACAAGTAATTTCAAACGCGAGCAAATTTTGAATGCAAGCTAATTACATGCAAGTCAAACACGGGCCGAGTATGAGCTTGCCCAAGCTCAACTTCAACAAGTTTGTTTTCCCCACAACAATTCTAAAACTAATTTCATGAAAATTGTAACAACATCAATGAACCTTACATAGCTTCACCAAAATAAGTTTCTTAGATTTTAGCTATCATATCAATTCATTACCATCACTAGCTTTATCCCAACTGGCTTTCTTTTCTAATTTGTTAATTAAAATTAGAAGATTGAATTAAAATTACAAATTCTGAATCAACATTTGTTAACAATCCTTAGCATATTTCATTAAGTAGGCATCTATTTTACTTGGACAACACAACATAGCACATCATAGCAAAAAAATGTCAAATGAAGACATAAGTCCATCATGTTTCACGCTCTTCTAAAGTCATATGATCATATTTCCGCTCCTAGTCCTTTCAAAATCAAAACCATAGCACAAGGATACTATTAACGTGAGTGTAAATGTTTGGTATATATGTAATGTTTTCCTTGCTGAACAATGTTCATCAGGCTACAAAAGCCATGCTAAAGGAGTGAACATACTTAAATGTCCTAAATTCTCGCTTAGGGACAACTTAATCCATGCTTGTACTCTTTCAATGACATTAATCACTGATGTCTTTATAAAATAAGGTTTGATGAGAAAAAAGAAGCATCGGCTTCAAGGAGTGCCACAAAGTTTTAACCAACCAACCTACGCTTGTAAGACTGATACTATGTACTGGTTTTGTGTTGGAGAGTGTGAAACAAAGTGTGCTCAAAACCATTTTAATCCCAAAGGTTTAAGCCTGTGAAACAGAGCCTAAACTTGGTATTTCCACGCCAATATATTTTTCAACCATCTATTATTGGATTGAACTCAATACTGTTAGGCGCCTCCATAATTTGATTTGAAAATATGAATACATCTTGTAGCTAAATCATGAATATTTTTATGCAGAATTTACATAGACACACCATAAGTTTTATATTTTTACACATTGAACACCTAAACATTGATATTTACTTGTACGACATTGAATCATCATAAATTCATGAAAACGCATGCATGGAAAGGCATGTTTCACTTTTGAAAAATCAATGATAGTGGAATTTTAATGTGATGTTAAAGATTTAAGTATTATATACGTAAACATTAAAGTTTAGGTGTCAGATATGTAAATACATAAACAATGTGTGATGTGTATGTGAGGCCCCCTATTTTTATTTGATCATGCTAAGAGGTGCCTAATCTGAGACTATGATTCTTCGTAGAAGCAATTAAGAAAAGTTTTTTTATCAGTATAACTAAAAAATTGCAGTCAGGTTAGTATCGAAACTATCACGATGACTCACAATTACAAACTAAGACAATGACATAATTGTATTTCAATCGCCTATTGTTAAAGAAGGAAAGAAGACTTCTGATTGGTAGATCGGTCTACATGAGGATAGCTCATTAGTTATAAATAATGAGGATATATGTAGAGATAGTTTCAAGAGAAGAAAAGAAAATTAGTTGGTTAGAGAAAGAAGATGATAGACTTCAAGAAATTGAGGAGAGCAACTTGGAGATTTTGTATCGAGTTGATTTGAGAGAGAAATTATGGCAAGATGAGAGCTCATAACTCAATGAAAAAAAGCTATGTAAATCTTCTTTATTGCCTTAGTGATTGATGGTTGATTTCTCTTCCGTGAATGTAGTTCCTATGGACCGAACCACGTAAAATTTATGCGTGCTCTTGATCGCAATTTTTTTCTTTTAGTACTTTTCTTTTTCTTTTTCTTCGACTGTCCAGGTGATTGGCGGTGCTGATTTTCAACAACTGGCGTCGAATGTGGGAATCGAACCCACGACAATGGGAACCGCCAAATTTGACATCAAGATATGCACCGGAAAGAATGATTTCAGCTTGTGGAGAGTCAAGAAGAGAGCTCTATTGGTGTAGCAAGGGATCGTCGAATCATTGCAAGGTCCTAAGGCATTGTCGGCCGAGATGTCCGAGAAAGAGAAGAAAGACATCATGGACATGGCTCATAGCTTAATAATCTTGAGCTTGGGTGACAAAGTTCTCAGAAAAGTGTCGAGAGAGACGACGGCTCAAGCGCTTTGGGCCAAACTTGAACTGCTCAACATTAAATCTCTAGCCAATAGACTCTTATTGAAACAATGTCTGTACTCTTTCAAAATGCACAAGACAAATCAGTTTCAGAGCAAACTGATGAGTTCAACAAGATCATAGACAATCTTGAAAATATCGACATCAAGATAGATGAAGAGGACAATGCACTGCTGTTGTTAAACTCCATTCCCAAGAGTTATGACACTTCAAAGATGCAATGCTCTATGGAAGGGTGCAAACAATTTCATCAGAAGAGGTTCAATCGCTAATTAGAACCAAAGAACTTTAAAAGAAACATGACATAAACGAAGAAACCAGAGGAGATGGTCTTTTCGTTAGAGGAATATCGAACAAGAAAGATTCAAGAAACGATCATAACAGATCAAGATCGAGACAAGGAAAGAAGAACAGAAATCAGTCATCAAATGAACCTCACAAGTGTTACCATTGCCATAAGAAATGTCACTAAAGAAGAATTGTCTGGATAAGAAGAAATAATTTCAAGAAAAGCCTAAAGAATCAGGAGAAACAAGTGTAGCCTTTGATGACTACGATTCAGCTGATGCTTTGGTAATTACTAAGTCTGAATCAAGCTAAGAGTGGATTCTTGATTCAGGCTGCTCCTTTCATATGTGATTGGTTTGAGACACTCCAACTGGTCAACAATGGATCAGTACTGCTTGAAGACAACAAAGCTCGCAGGGTTGTTGGTAGTGGGATGACCAGGATAAGAAATTTTGATAGAGCTGAACAAATACTACAAAATGTCATGTACATATTAAAACTCAAAAGGAATCTGACTTCTTTAGATATGTTGGAATCAAGTGGCTATTCTGTTAAGGCGAAAAATGAATGCATTAGAGTAACTAAATGTTCTTTTATCATCACGAGAGGAGCTAGAAAAAATGACCTATATTCTCTAATCGGAAGAAATGTGATTAGTAACTTCTCTAATATTGTTCAATCTAAAACTGACATACTCAAAAAGATGCTACCTACAGTTAAGTTCAGCTACTGTCTGGACTTAGTGAACTCAACCAAGGGCTAATAGGTGGAGGGAATCTCTATTATGGAGATTTGTAATTGGTAGTCAAAGTGGAGAATTGACACGTTGACTAACAATTACAAACTAAGGAATTGACATAATTGCAATTGTATCACCTGTTGTTAAGAAAGAAGACCGGTCTAAATGAGGATAACTCATTAGTTATAAATAATGACGATATATGTAGAGAGGGTTTGAAGAGAAGGAAAAAAAATCAGTTGATTAGAGAAAGAAGAGGATAGACTTCAAGAGATTGAGGAGAACATCTTGGAGATCTTGTATTGAGTTGATTCAAGAGAGAAATTATGGCAAGATGAGAGCTCATCTCTCAATGTAAAAATGTAAATCTCTTTATTGTCTTAGTGCTTGATGGTTAATTTCTCTCTTGTGGATGTAGGTCCTACGGAGCGAACCGCGTAAAGATCGTGTGTGTTCTTGATCACAACTCTTTTTGTTTCTTTCCTTTTTCCTTTTCTTCATTTTTCCAAGTGGTTGGCGGTGCAGATTTTCAACAGAAACAAGGTGAAAATCTCAGATCGAAAGCCGCATCTGATATCAGAGAAGGTAGATTTAGCCAAAAAATCTGGATATCTAATCATCCATGCATCAGAAAATTGGATTCATAACACAATTAAACCAGAGAATTGAGCCCCCACATAGCAAAGAAAACACTGGTGAATTTTGACAAAAGAACGGCAGACACACAAACACCAGGAGATGATAATTTCTGCAATAAATATTACATGAATATCATAAACAAATTCTATTAAAAAATATTAAAAAAAAACCAAATCTTATCCAAATACGCAAATAATAGTCAGAAGATACATCTGAAATAATACGGATTAAGATATGCAGATACCTCCGAAGCAGTCCATGGCCCCTGCTTCCCATGATAAGCGAGTCCAGCTTCAGATCCTCAACAGCATCACATAGCTTCTCCCTCGCGTCTCCCCAATAAATCTTCACCACGATGTTGGCCTGCTTCATAATCACGACATCAAAAAAATTCACCACAAAAAAAAAAAAAAGTAAAGAGGAACGAATATGAGGCCAAATAGTAACCTCCTTCTGTCTTGAAGCAGTGTCGAGCAAATCAAGCACTTCAATGTTGCAATGCACATCATATTTCTTCATAATCTCAGGTTCCCGAAACTCTGATAGTGGTATCAGTGCTGGTGCTCGCAGATAGATTTTGAGTAGCATTCAATCAATTCTTGATGTGGTTAAAAAAAAAAAAAAAAAAAAAAAAAACACGGAAAAGCAAAGATTGAAGAGAGCGTACGTGATCCGGAATGTTGGCCAGGGCTGTTGTGTGACTCGTCGGACTTGTTTGATCGGACATGGATGATGAAAAGAGTGTCTCCTCTGTCGAGAAGGTTGTCGATCCCCCATTGAAGTGCCCTAATGCTTCCCTTGGAGAAGTCAAGAGCTACCCCGATCTTGATCACCCACCATTTTCTTCTACTCTGTTCTTTCTCCTTCGCAAGCTTCCAACAGAAACTGATCGCCTTTGTTGTATTTGTTTATTTTTGCAGCACAATGCTGATGACCAGTGGGCACCCCCAAGAGGGTGAAGTTGTTCCGTCCAGATCTTAGGATTCTTCTATTTATTTTAATTCTAATTTCAATATTTTTTTATGGAAATTATATCACTACTAGATAATTGTAATATATTTAAATATATATTATATCACTCAGATCGTTAACATGGTACATATGTATATATATATATATATATATATATATATATGAATTAATATGGTACAAATGTAAATATATAAGAATTATCTGGTATTTATGTAAATCACCAATTAAAATTCAGTAGAAATAATTTAATTTAATTCATCCTTTATATATAAAAAAGTGATTTTTGAAGAGATTAATAGAGAGATGATTGAATTAGTGTAAAATTTATTAATCTTTTGATATATTTTAATTGTTCACTAAATTAAATTAGAATTATACTCTAGTGAGTCACTTGGTAGTGAGTCAACTCGGCCATGTGCGGCTCCTCGGATGCGGCATCTTTTTTATCTGACGGTGGCTATGATTTTGCCGGTGGAGGAAACGGACGGCCGTGATGCTCCGTTTTCTTATCCTTCACGGGACGCGTCTCTCCTTGGCAATTTTTCATACGTCACTATTAACGATTAATCGGGAAGTCGCTGCCCACGGGCAAATATTGACATTTACATAAAAACCACCTATATTTTATGTATTTACATAATTTATATCTAAAGCTTACGTTTTATATTTATATTACCGCTAAATCATTCATATCGAATCAAATATAAAATACATATTTATATATATAAATAAGATGACACATTTGTAAAAATTAAAATTTCAATGTTAGATATGTAAATGTATAGAAATTAAGTGGTATATCTATAAACCTTCATTTAATTTAATGAATGACAGATTTGATTTTTATTATATAGTTTTTGAGATTTTTTATATTTAAATGTATAAGAGTTTATGATTTAATTAACCCAAAAAGAGATTATATATATAATTTTGAGCGATGACAGATAATTACAGAATTAAAGAATGCGAAGAGTGTGAGGGTTGAGTTAGTTTAGCTGGACCAATGTTGCTTAAACCACTTAATTTCTACAAAGCAATTATGCAAGAGTAATTAAAGTCACAGTAATTAATTTAATTGTTAGGTAATTGCACTAAAAATTATTAGTACTTTTTTAAATCTGATTTTACTGTTGTTAAATTTATATTCAAACTTGAATTAAAAAAAAAAAAACTAAAAATATTCTCATTGCATGCTGGAGATTTTCGGTGATAAAGTAATAATTTTACACTTCAATATTGTACGAAAATCAAACACACATAGATGATTCAAAAAAATAGTAGGAGAAAAATACTAATCTATGAATTCACGAGTATAAAGATAGAGCCTTGTCAAGTAATAGCGATGTTGAGCATTCGGTCGACCTTTAGCCCTGGTTCAAGGGGCTACACCTAGTCAAGTAGGTCATTTGGTATTTCTTTGGTGGGTGACCCTTTAGTCTTCTTCATGCGGACTCTTAGGTCTTCCATTTGTGTGCCTTTTTAACCACACTTTTTTGTCCTTTTGTCAGTTGTATCTCCTCAATATTCATGTGAATCGTTTTCCTAATGTACGCTTATCTATTTATTTTCATATATATTATATATATATATAATATTTTGATATCTTAAATCTTGCATTTCAATTTTTTAAAGTAATAACAAGGTTTAGAAAGCTGACCAAACCGGCCAATTTGACCGGTTAAACCGTGAATCAACCGTAAGTCTGGTTTCGGGTGGCTTAAAAACCATCCCAACATTGAATCAGAATGAACCGACTGTAGCCGGCGGTCCAACCGTTGAAAAAGTTTAATTTTTAATGCTCTTTTAGAGAGATTTTTTTCGTATTATAATACTTGCTTGCTAGTCTTATTTTTGAAAGTCATTTAAATTAGTTGTTTAAGTTCACATATGATTTATATTTCATGATATATTTTTTATAGTAGACATACTACGACATTATTATGTCATTTAAGTTATATTTAATACATTTTTATGCTTATGATGTCATCCTTTTCAGCCAATATTGAAACTCTTCCTCTTCGGGTTCAATGTCTGGCCTAATTTTCAATATCTTGAGTAATAGTGATATTTTTAATATAATATTAAAGATTTGGCATTGATATAAGAAACCTTTAAACATCACCAGCTATCATTTTAGAAATATTCTGATGAAAAATGAATAAATTTATTATCTAATAGTTTTTTAATTCTTAATCATTATAATTCAACCAATACTGAAGCAACAGCTATTCATGATTTTATAATCACATATTCTTCAATTATAGAGAATAGTGGAGCTTTATAAATTTAAATATAATGTAAATTACTCTGGCCGGCACAGATCCTATGATTCTAATTATTTTTCTATGCCTTTGAGAATTGGCTAGCAAAAACAAAAATAAAGCTAATTGTAAATATTGTAAGTACGTGATCGTTACAAATATTTATTTATTTTAGAATAGAGGAAGTTTCTCAAGTTATATCATGTGAGCATGCTTGAGCCATGGCATTTAAGTGTAAAAATGGATCTTAAATGCTAATTAAAACAACTGGTGGAGAGATGATATTACGTCTTAGCAGGAGCAGGCCCACATTGATCTAATGGTGGGATTTTCTTAATATTTAATATTGTTTTCTTAATATATATATATATATATATACACACACACACACACACAAACCTCAAAGAACAATGAACAATAACCAAGTAATGGAAAATGGTAAGACAAAGATGATTAGATGATAGTTGTTGGGGAACCATAGATGCTAGTAGTGATCCCTCTTTTTTGAAATAGAAGTTTTCTCATATATCCTTGTTAGTGTCGTCATGAGTTCCATTGTATTTTTCTCATTCATTACGTTGAACGCAATAGATGAAGAAAGTGAAACACAAATCAAACTTAGGGTTGTTCGATCTAGCACTTCTCATTCTTATAGAGTCATTGTTTCATGTTGTTTGGTGATTCCTTATCATGACAAATACAATTTTTTTTTATATAACAAATCTTCCACTTGTCTTTTCCAGAACGTAAAGTTCAATTCATTGAACTTCTTCATCTTGTACCTCGCTTCATCGATCATTGCTCCCACTCAAATAAAAAATTTTCAGAAAGAAACCCCTACTCTAATACCACTTATTGTGATAGAAACTTGGGCTTTGATTGATTTATAATCAAAACAACATCCAGAAAAAAAAAATGGTCACACCTATTTGAGAAATGCAAAACAAAATATCAAACATAAAATGCCATCGAGTTAAACCAAAAAGAATCACACTAAGATTTAACCCGAAAAACCCGAGAAAGACAAAATACAACTAGCCACCAACAGATAGGATGAGAGTTGGCCCTTGACGTCTGTATACATCAATTCTTGCTTCTTCACATTGCTGTCTTTTAATGCTGAAATTATCTGATTCTCTTAAAGCCTTCAATCTTCTTTACTCTGAGAAAATTGCTCCTTGATTGAAGCTTACTAATAACTAGTTTGATTCTTCTTACACATCCAAAACAGATACTTAGTATGCCTTACAGAATCCCAACACTCAGCTAACCCAAAAAGTAGAATTCTTTGCTACCAATTCATCATATTTTGTTCATTTTGTTGCAAACAAATAAAGTGAAATACATTATTTTAGCAAATAAACATTAATAGTAACATAAGATCAATATATTTCTCCAATAGAATGGCTGGAGAACTTCTGAAGGCGAAAACAGGAGGGAATATTACCTGCTAAAAAGGTTGGTGCAGATATGTGTAGATTAGATGGTATTCACTAAAATAACATCAAAATATCACAAATCTGTATGTATGTCTAATAATTCCTCCAAAAATAGAGCTATATAAAGCAATAAATATACTGCACAACCAATAAAATAAGACAAATATGAACTCAGTCAGGGAGATTGAAGTGAAAGAACCAGGAGATAACAAATGCAAAGACCATGCAGGCCAGAAGGAAGTTCAGAATGTTATGACCCTGCCAGAAAAGTCTAGTAGTTTCGGCCTGTGGTGGCGGCAGTGGTGGAGGCGCTGCGTATGCTGAGCCGCTGCTTGTTTCATTTGGATGCTCAACAGACTGATCAGCCTCGCTAATTCCAGCCACATTTTTAGCTGTTAATCCACAAATCTCACATGTCCTGAAACAATCGCACAGAAAGATAGTTTAGATAATTATAATTAGATAAAAGCAGAGCAACATCACCACCAACACAAAAAAATGTACTTCAAAAAGAGTAATTTATGCATAAGAGCTCAAAGTCTTGGTTTTAATTAACATAATTAAAGAATTTTACTCAACCTGTTTCCTTTGAGCTTGAACCAAGTCTCTGCGCATTGCTTGTGTGCAGATGCTAGATCATGTTTGCAAGAGCAACCCAAGACCATTGGACCTCCGGAATCCTGACTATAGATCTCCAAACTTAAATGACAAATCCGGCAATCTGTTTCAGATTTCTGAACATTTTCTTCTACCTCTGAAATCAAGCTCTCCAAATCAACCTCCATTGAAGAATCTGATATGCTGGAGTGTCTGCACAACTCTGAGGCTCCACTTAGATGATGACTGGAAACACATGAAGACTGTTGCTCGTAGAAATTTGAACGGGAAGAAGAATGCCATGGCTCATCTTCTGCATCAGATAAGCAAAAGCTGCCATCACTGTCTTCAACAATGGAAGAGTTCGGAGAACCCATTTCTATATCTTGGCTTGATCTCCCTCTTTTCATATACATTTCAGAAAACTGATGGGATTCGGATTAACGTTAAAGATGAAATCTTTGGGAGAGTTGATATGAATGAGAGGAGACATGTAAGGATTAGGCAAAGAGGAAAGTTCTGCAAAATCGAGAAAGGAGGAAGAAATCAATCAGCATTTTGTTTTACTACCGGAGTAGCGAGCCTGAGAAGGCTGGAGAAACCATTTTGCTTGGAATCCAAAAAAATATGGAGCTTATAAATATGATTTTGTTTATGAACTTTTCTTGTGGTGGGGATAAAAAATAAAACGAAATAAAGTATATCATACATACATACATATACATATATACATACATATAGATACGTATATACATATATATATATATATATCTACCATGAAATAAAAATAACACTTGGCCTAACACTTTAAGTCACTTCGCCTTCTTTATGGTCTTTATTAGTTGCTTGTTTCAGTCTAATTGGTCTCTTAGTAATTGCAATTTGTCACATCCCATGTCCAAAGACAGCACGGCACGCCCTCACAATACATGACATGAGGCATATTTTATATTCTCAAATGAAAAATTATAGTCAAATAAAAAAATAATAAACAAAGAAATATAAATATTATTTTATAATTAATAATTCACTTATACAACTGAAAGAAAATCACAAAATCGACTAAATCAAGATTGAAATGATAATAGTGAACTACTTGGATTCAAAAATAAAAAATACTATAATTAAAATAAATACTGAAAAAATAACATAAAACAAGAAATTTAAAACTTAAAGTTAGTTTTAGCGGATATGATCCTGCTAGTGGTTGAATATAATATGCTATGTAAAAATATTAGTGAGTGTTTGAAAAACAAACTCAATAAATAACAACAATTTATTAAATCATGAACTACAAGTAAAATGAGACATGCAACATCAACAACAAATAAGAGCAATTATACATATATATTAAATTTTCATATAAAATAATATCATTATTTTTTAAGTATATATATATATATACATACATAATCACTTGTGTTTTGAAACATATATGCTAAATTATAGATATGTGATTATTTTTAATACGATAAAAGCATACTGTGAATAACTTAACATGTTATTCAATTTTAATTTAATTTAAATTTATATACAACCTGAATTGGGAAGGTCAATACAAATATAAGGAAACTTGACAATTTTCTCCGGGGGCGTCACTTTGTGGATCTGTCGGCCCGACAAGACAAGATGTAAAAGGGTTTCCCCGACTTACATATATACATTCACACACAAACATACCAAATTTTTCACAAGTACAATATGTAAGAAATATGCTACTTCACACAGATTTGTGATATGACATGAAATTACATGCAATTTTATAATGATAAAGTATAAAAAAAATTATAATTGCAGAATTTAATAAAATAAGCATAAAGTTTACAGCAATAAAATGAAATAGCTAATTCCTTCATTATGAGTAATAACTGAAACTTATCACAAATGCAAAAGAAGAAAACTAAGCTATCAAGGGCCTGATTGGTAATCCTACCTGATTGGTAATCCTATGAAGTAACTGGAAATCTATTATAAATAATAAGAATTAATGCCCACAACTAGGAATGATATATTTATTCTCTATTAAAAAAACAGTTAATTACTTTCGACATGGGCAACAACACTCCAAATGCTATATTGGTTATTTTGATGTCAACTAATAGGTCTTACACATGTGAGAATCCTAAAAGTTCATTATGCACATAAATGTATTAAACTTATAAAATATATGCTGCACATTCAAATCAGTTGGTCGGGCATTTGTTTGTCAGTTGTAAGTCCCCTCTGGTCTGGGGTTCGATTCCCCCCGAGTGTAGGGTGTGGTACTCGAATTATAGGTTCATAAGGAATAGTCCGGGCTCGTATTATAGCCTCCGACCATTCCTTATATATATATATATATATGGTCAGCTGTAAGTCCCCTCTAGTTTGGGGTTTGATAGGCGCGCGACAAAGTCTTGACAGAAACTCATATATATATATACTACCATTATAATTAAAAAAATAACTTAATCAATTATTGTTATAATAAAATGACTAAAAATGAATTTACTATAAATAGAGAAGTCTTGCATTATAATATAAAGAAAAGAAAAGAAAAAGAACATAATATAAAGAAAAGAAATAAAAGAAAGAAAAGGCAGGGAGAAGCTTACAATATTAGATCGGTTGGGTTGAGGGAGAAAGAAAAAGAAGAGGGGTGAGAGATGGGAATTTCAGTGGGCTTTGTATGCTACGACCCCGTTGTTGCCTTCACAGCTAGCTTTGATCACGATTGAGGGTACAGAGAAGGAGGAGACATATAGAGTTTCGTGGTTTCTGTACATCATAATCCCACCGCTCCTTCACAGCTAGATCTAATCTTAATTGTATCACAAGGGTTCAGACAATGAGGAGAAAGATAGAAATTTTGATATTGAGGGTTTGGTGCCTATAAGAGGGGGCAAGAGAGAGGTTAGTGTGATGCCCTGGCTTCAGTGAATCCTCCCTAATTAGTTCAGAGGGGCGATAAAGCATTGATAAAAAATAAGGAAAGGCAAAAACATTAAACCAAAGATGAAAAAAAATGTTGTGAAAAATGATGATAATAAAGTGAAAATTTGGATTGAGAAAAATCACAAAACAAAAAACAACTGCGGAAACACACGGATTTGCGTGGTTCGTCAAATTGCCTATGTTCACAGAGCTGCACAGAATTTTATTAGCTTAAGTAATTACACCAATCGATCAGCTCGACGATTAAAACTTTCTCTCTCTTCTCTCTCTCCTCTCTCTCCTCTCTCTCCTCTTCACTAAGATCAGCTCAAAGGAGAAGCCTTTCATAATTTCTTCCTCGTGTAGCTTTTATAGAAAAAGCCCATCAAGGAATTAAAGGAAGCGTGAGGAAGAATCCAGCAAAAATTGATTTTCCATTACTTTCCTTCTGTCCCCAAAAAGGCAGTTCGTTCAAATCGCAACCTGGAGGCGGGATGAGCGGCATTCGTGAATCCAATGAAGAAGCCGGAGAGTAGGGAAGCAGGCGGGCTTTTAATATGGAAGGAAACAAATAACAAAGGTAATTAATTAGCTACCTTGATTAACAGTTGCCCCGGCTCCACTAATCTAACAAAGGATAGAGTCACCTTCTCTGGAAAGAATGAGCAATTCAGAAACGCAACAGGGGGCAAAAGGAAGATAAGAAAAAAACAAGTTTTAGATCTCGGTCATCACTTCATCAATTTTCTAGGTTGCTTCTTGCTTTGACTGATTCATCCAAAGTACTATGATAAAAAGGAATAGATGGACAATAAATTTATAGAATTTTATGCGCAAAGAAGCCGATCAGATACTTCTTCATAACTCAATTCTTTTCAAATCACCAACAACTCCTACTAGATAACATGAGAGTTGTTATATGAAGAGGTTGTGTTACGGCAGCCTCAGTGAGATGAGCAAGATTAGCATGACGATGCCAATTAAATGAATTTGCGGACTATTTTACCATTTTTATAAATTTTAGGACTAAAACGATTTCATATAAATAGTCGAGAAATATTTTAATACTTCACTCGAAAAACTTATGAAAAAATATATCATCTATTTATCACTTGCGACAGATTCAAGACCAACATCATGATAAGCCGAACCTCTCTATAGGTTAAAGAAATGGAAAAAAAAAAGGCATAGTGAGAACAAAGACTCGAAGTTTGGTTGCATTGATTAGCACATGCTTGAAAGCAAGAACATAAGAAGAATAATAAAACAAGTCATTATTGATCCTGCTTTTGTGATGAAGAAATTAAAGTTAGTAGATCGAGAGAGTTTTCTATCACTCACTGAGCCCTTAATTAAGGGCACATGTGCAGTGGTTAGACCAAGTAACGTGACTGTTCTACTATTTATTTATTTATTTATTTTGGATAAGTTAGAGCTTTAATGGCAATTTGATTAAAAATTAGTTATCAAAATGTGCTGTACATCTAAAAGTGTAAAAGAGCCGAACAAGAGCGGAGCTCGGGCTTAGCTCGTGTTCCGCTTGTTGAAAATACCTCTGCTTATGTTTTGTTCATTTATATTTCGAACACAAAAAAGTTTTCTCAAGTTTGGCTAGTTTGCTTAGAGAGTCTAACACTGTTTGCAAATAAAGAGCCATTTTGACGACGCTAGTCACTCAAGCATAAAATGTTAGGGCTAGAGGCGAGATTAAACTCTTTTTATTTATATCAAAACATTCTTTAACTATAATTTAATATATTTTTACTCTATTTTTTAATTAATAATTTTAATTGATTATAAATCTTTGTAGTTTTATAGACAATTATATTATTTAAAAATAGTTTTTATTTTTTATTTTTGAGTGATAACATATAATTTTAATGATGCAAACTCAATTTTAATTTTTATAAAATAATTTTCAAGATTATTATTAAATAAATTAGCTTAATTATTTGAAATTGAAAATGTATTTTAAAATAGTTAGGAATATTGCTTAATTAGATGTAAATTGACAACGGTATTAAATTTAAACTCAACAAATCTACTCAGTAATTCCCTAAAAATGATAACTTCATTTGTCACTGTAAGGACATAAAATCATTAATTCTAAGACATTTATGCCTTTTTATAAACAATTGAGCGATTTAATATCTTATAAATCACTACATAATGGTGTTATATATTCATTATAATCATTAAAATATGTTGAGTTAAATTTAATATAAATTTTAATTGAGTAATTATTATTATATTCATTTTTAATCTTTAAATGTAATAGTTTTTTAAGTAATGAATCAAATTAATTTCCCAGAGTGATATAATATAAAACCCCTTTTTATTAATAAAAAAAGCATGTGAAAGTTCAAGTTCAATAAAAAGTGGGTGAAAAGTAGGGAACTAATGGTTTCTTTGAGGTAGGCTTTGAATTTAAGTTCATCATCAACATAGTTTTATTTGGTTATCTTTTTCTTTTTAAAATATTTGTGGTTTAGAAACAGTTAGATATGAGAAAGCTGATGCTTGAATTTTTTGAAAAATAAATATTTTTAATACGCACAATAACTTTCTAAGAATCTATTTTTCCCACATAATCTTACACTTAGCTTTACGAAAAGCCGTAACTGCTCCAAACAAATATTAATAGTCTGTTTGGCATGACGGAATGGTTGCAACGCGGTTTCAAACCACAAATATGTTTGTTTAGAAAAGGAGGCGCAGCAGCGTCTTCGAAGACATATTTGTAAATGCGGGCTGCGGGTGAGACCCCACGGTCCACGTTTGTTATGTTAAATTTCCCCTTCCTCCACCTACATTTCTGCCCTTGCTCCTTCGAGTTTCTGTCTCTCTCGCTTCTCGACCTCTCTCGCGTCTCTACTACCTCTCTCGGGTCTCTGCCCTAATACCATCTCTTCTTTCTTTTCTGTGCCGTAAGAGGTGCTCTTCCCTCGCTCTCCCACGATATCCTCTATCATTTATCATCGCAAATTGGGGTTGAATTGTATTGTGTGGCTATCTCCCAAGGTATGCTCACCACAAAGTTGATATTCCATTAGAATGAAAATGGTTTTGGATTTTGCTATCCTCTGTCATTTTTTTTGTTGTTTGCAATCTTTGCTATACTCAATTTGTAGTTCTGATGTTTTTTTTGTGTCTTGGTATTTTTTGGTTTGTGGCCCCTGTAATAAATGAATTTGAGATTTGTGGGCTTTGGATTGGTTGGAATTGGGTTTTATGGCCTCTGGAATGTGCTCATCTCTATGGATACTGAAGGTTGGGAAGCCTTTTCTAGTTTATGGCCTTTATATATGCTTCATTTCTTATTTTGGTTGGTTTGGGTGGGTTTCCCTCTTTCTCAAATGGAATGTTTTGATGCAAAATAATAATAATAATAAAATAAAAGGATGGTTTTGGGCTTTGGAAAATGTAGGGAATGAATTAGGATTGGGGTTATGAGGAATTGTTAAATGGTGTTTTGTGGATGTTTTTGGAAGAAATGAGGCAACATTTCACTGAGCTAAATGGGGGTTTGGATGACATTAAGTGCTCTCAGGTTTGAGGACTCAAGTTTGAGACCTCTGAAGACCATTTAAGGGCTTGAAATACTATGAAGGTAACAAGAATGTGCTAGAATGCTTCAAAGATTATCAGAGAAGTTTTGTGTGGTGGAGGTGGTTTGTTCGTGTTGTAGATGGGAGTGGGGGTGTGTTGGGTAGGAGGTAGCGACACGTTTGTGTTGCTGATATGGTGGTGGTGTGTGTACATGAGAGTGGTGGCGGTGGTATGTTGAAGGTGTGGTGTTGGTGTGTTGCTGGTGTGTTGGGTTGGATGTGGTGGTGTGTATACATGGGAGTGGTGATGATACTAAATTGATGTTGTGGTGGTGGTGGTTTATTGTTGGTTTGGTGGTGGTTTATTGTGTTGGGTTGGAGGTTGTAATGTGTTGGGTTGATGCGGTGATGGTGGTGGTGTGCTGGTTTGATAATATGGTGGTGATGGTGTGTTTGGTTGATTTGTGTTGGAGGAGGTAGAGTGTTTATATTGATGATATGATGGAGGTATGTGTGGGTAGTGGAGTATGCTAGCAAAGTGTTAATAAATTTCATATGTTTCTTTCATATTACATTTTCGATTTTTGGAAATTTAAATGTGACTTTATATTCTTATGAGATAACTTTATACTGCGTGCCACACATTTATGTTACTTGGTTCTTTTCATTCTAATAGTCTTCAAGGTAAAGTCAAAAAAAATATTTTCATCAGCCATGTGGGATAAGGAGATGAAGCTAATATTTTGTCATCTTTATCTTAAAGAGTTGAAATTAAGAAACATACTACTGTGGATTGCAGTGTTCTCAGCTCACTTCATGACATCTGCATAACTATGTGAGATAATTTCACAGTTGTCTAAGGAATAGATTAGATAATTGTGACTTCTTTAGGTGAGTGGATCAATTTGATGATTCCGTCGTCAATAGGCATGGATAGTTTCGTTGGAGGAGATTTTCTCGTGACATTAATCGCCTGAATTTTAAAAACAATACTATGATAATATTATTTGTTATTTCAGTAGTTTTATTTTTAATTTTGATTCTTGTGTTACAAATTGTTTGGTGAGGTGTTAGTTTTTACTATGTAATATTCGAACTTGATATCTGTTTTAATATATGAAATATGCAACCAGAACTATTTCTGTTATTACATGAGCAAAAATGTCATTTGCAGCACAATTGTTGCAAATTGCACAAAACAAAAAGACATACAACTTCCTCGCAAGGTTCAGCCGCCCCAAATTGACCCTAAATGTCGTTTGTATGTGTTCTACATTTTAGCATAATAAAAATTCTCGCTTTTGACTTAGATTTGAGGCCAATTTTCTTAGTGATTATTTTAAATGAATCCTGTTTAGCTCTATATATAATATTATTTGATAAATTTTAAATTCAAAATTTTCTAGTAAAATTGATTATCTTTAGCGAATATTTGATCTAATTAAAGCATAAAAGTCCAAAATAAAACTGTCTTTGTAAACTTTGAAGA